GTTCAGTTTCACCAGCAGCTGAATCTGGACGCCTGGGGCAGAGCAGCTGGGGTGCTGCCGGGTTGGTCCAGTAGTGCCGAGGAGCGGCACTGCGGGACCAACCGGCAGCGCCCCAGCTGCTCTACCACAGGCGTCCGGAGAAAAGCCTGGTCTTCTGGGGAGGTGGGGGGGCACCGTAGCTGTGCCTCCCCCCCAGCAGACCAGGGAGATGTGTGCGGCAGGACCAAGATGCGCCGCGGTCCCGCCGCCTGGGTCCTCTGCGGCTTGGGTCCCCGTCTCCCTGGTCTGCTGGGGGGAGCTGCAGAAGAAATTCAAATTACCCTCCATAAAACCGTCTTTCAGGCATCGTGCTCTATAGATAACTTAATAAAGCTGAGAGGAATATACACGAGATCCCATATGGCATCTCAAGTCCACTTTGCTATGCTCCAGTGGTAGGACTAGAGCGAGAATGAGGGGCTCCAAGAATCCTGGCTGGTGGAGTAGCCCCTTTGGAGATGTGGCACGAGATACACCAGCTGACTGCTTTGATTTGTGCCTGACTAGTTTGATACCTGAGAGCCCCCACAGCTGGGAGGGTGGGGTGGGCAAAAAGATCGTGAAAAGCTGCCTGTGCTTAGACTGCATCTTGAGTCCTGCTCTGCTGTACTTGGCAGCTTGACCCTATATATCTGAAAGTCTTTTCAACTTCCTGAAGTTCAGAGTCACATGGGACCAATATTTATTTCAGCTGTAGAGACCTGGATGGCTCAGGACTAGCTGTTAGATTGTGATAACACATAATTAGCACTTCCTGTAAAAGATGAAACTGTGGAAGCATTAATTAAAGTAGACACCTCAGAGCCTTTCACACTTATGTCGGGTACAAATCCAGCCCAGGTCAGTAGTGACCAATAGGTGCTAAGTTTTCACAGCTTGTTTGGTCTGAGTGAAATGTGTTTGGGATCTCAGTCCATTTTCCAGTAACAGGAAATGTCCTCAAAAACTGCCACTGCCTTGGTTGGTGCCCTTCTTGGCAGCTTTCTCTGTTGAAAGGCCAAGGATTGAATGGACACAGAGACTCAATTTTCCTTTCATCCCGGATGGTAGTGTCTTCATGTCATAGTAGAAGTCCATCCATTGGGCAGCGTAAGACAACTTGTTCGGAGGATAAACAGATCACTTTGTTTTCCAGGGTTCCAGGGTTGTCAGTCTTGCACCTTTCACACATTCGGTTGATGTTTTCGGTCTTGTCTGGCTGGTTCTTACAGCTATAGATTGTTGTTCCCCAGGCTCAGAGAAACTGAAAACCATCTCTTCATTTGGGGACCACTTTTCTCCCAGTATTCCTATCAGTGTGTCAGCTATCTCGCGGCTTGGTTAATGGGGTGCCATAATGTGGCTACAGTATATACAGGCAGTCCCCGACTTACGTGGATCCGACTTACGTCGGATCCCTAGATACGAACGGGGTAGGCAACTCCCGCACATGCGCAGCAGCATTCCCGGGGCTCGCTCACCTGGGTCCTAGGATCCTCCTCCTCGTCAGCCAGTGGCCTTCGTTTATAGGGAGAGAGGCCTTGTATTATTTATTCTTCTAATGCCTGAGTAAAGTTGCTTATGTCATCTAGTGTAGAAATAGGCAAGTAAAATAATTGCCTTATGTAGTACAGTTTGAACCTCTCTAGTCCAGCAATATCCATAGTCCAGCATGATTTTAGTTAGCTGATTGTCTGCTTATCAGGGATGTGGTCAAGTTTCCGACAGTCCCATAAAGTTTGTTTACAGCCACCAGTCCTGGCTCTGTGTTCTGTGCTATTACTTCGTTCTTTCTGACTTACCCCTAAATATATTCTAAGAGCCCAGTAAGCAGTGGAAGTGTTGGTATTGATGCTTGACAATACAGATATCCCGTGCTTTGGCAAATTCTCTGGTTTGGCACCTATCAGGTCCCAAGGGTGCTAGACTAGAGAGGTTCAACCTGTAGTGAGATGTTGCAAAACTTTTGTAGTGAACATTTGGAGACTAGATTTAAAATACAGGCAGTCCCCGGGTTACATGGATCCGACTTACATCGGATCCCTACTTACAAACGGGGTGAGGCAATCCCGCACTAGCTGCTTCCCCCCCAGCAGACCAGGGAGATGCGGAGCGGCTTTTCTCAGCAGACACCTCAGCTTGAGAATAAAGGACTGAGGGAAATGAGGTGTGGGAGAATAAAACTGAGCTCTGGAGAAATGTTTGGCTAGAGTTTCCCCTACGATATGTACCAGTTCCGACTTACATACAAATTCAACTTAAGAACAAACCTACAGTCCCTATCTTGTACGTAACCCGGGGACTGCCTGTAATTAGCCATTTAGTTATTAGAAATATAGTTGGTTTGATATAACCATAAACGGTGAAGAAAACATGATGCAGTTGAGCTTTGTGAAATGCATAATGGGCAAGTGCTTGTAAGAGTCAGAAGTCATTACATTCACAATATGTCTGCATAAGTGATTGTTGGACAGCATGTCATCTATACTGTACTGTTTGTGAATTACTAGTCAGGCTTTACCACTTGTGGACTAGATTACCTTTTCAGGTCCCTTCCAGCCCCTACAAATCTGTGATTCGATACCTCTGAAATAAATATATGGTTCAGTGTGTGCAGGGTGTTGCAGTTAGCTCCAGTTAGGGAATAGTTTCACTTCATTAGGACTATGGGTATGTCTACTCAGCAAGTGGGTAGAAGTGATTCCCAGTGTGGGTGCAAATACATGTGCTACCTCCGCTTGAAGCTAGTGTCTAGAAATAACAGTGTAGCTGCAGCAGCTGGGTGTAGCCATCTGAATACAAACTCACCTGACCTCCTGTGTATATGCTGGCATAATTGTCTGTTAACAATCTAAAGTTCACATGTTTGGATATGCCACTGTGAATGCATCACACACATTAGTGATTTGCTTTAGCATTTTTGTCCTGGAAAACATTTGTGGGGTGTTCAGATTATCATGTACAAGACTGCAAGGTAATCCAGCTAACTGGCAGTCAGTTAACTCGGATTCAAAAGCCCCTCTAATGTTGACAAATCCTTAATCGAGTTTCAGGGGCTAGCTGAGTTAGTCTGTACAGAAAAAAACAACAAATGGTCTGATAGGACTTTATAGACTAACAAAACATGTAGATGGTATCATAAGCTTTCGTGGGCACAGCCCACTTCTTTAGATGACCGGAGTTTTGAGTTTAGGATGTGCAGACCCAAAATAAATAGGAGAGAAGGAAGGGGGAGGGAGGAAAAAAGAAAGGGAGGTGGGAGACAGGGAGCAGAGGGTATAGAAAATCAGGAAGGTGGAGGGAATCAATAAGTATCTGAAGATTGGGTAGTTAAAACTAAACAGATAAGAATCAAAGTCAATTGATTGTGTAGATTCCTATGTCAGGAAGGATACTAAGCTGCTTGCACCTTCACTGACTGTTAGGTTGATAGTGTCCCAACCATCCTTCATCAAGATTGAGTCCATTAGCATGAGAGTTGAGAGTTAAGCTTGATCATTTTACTTGCTGTAGGGCTGTTCTTTAAGTTGTTGATCATGATGTTGGGCTTCTGTGGTGATCTACATTTCCCACAACCCACTCATTGTATTCTGTGATGTAACTAAATTGAATGAGCATATGCTCTAGGATGTTAAAAGTACCAACTTTTGTGACAATAAATAGAATTTAAAAGCTGTGATCAACTAATTAATTGAAAGTGTGTGTTCATTATAAAATAAAAATGTTTATGGTTCGCAAGACCTAATATTTTCAGTTGTTTTGCATCAACTGTTTCAATGTATCTATTTATGATAATGTTGTAAAATGGATGTAAACAGTGTTCTCACAGCCGTTTTGGATGATCAGATTGTATGTTGAGTTTTTCATCTTTGTTATATTTCTGTTGTGGTCTAGTGTCCTCCAGGAATGAAACAGCAAGTTTTGACTTTCTATACCAAGCTTCTAGGAAGAATACGACAACCTCTTCTCCCACATATAAATGTACATAAACCAGTGCAGGTACTGTTCAGGTTTCAAACAATATTTATTTTTGCACATGGAATTTAGTGGCTTTGTCTCTGATCGGGTTTTTTTGGGTTTTGTTTTTAATCCCCTAAGTGCAATAATAATTTTAACCAATTACAGATTGGCACCTCAGAGTTACTAGAGTACAACTAATAAATAATATCTCCTACATCAGTGGGACTCTCAAGTAACTCTGTTGAAGTCAGTGTACCTTATGTCATCAGAGAACTGCTTTGTGGAAAGAAATCAACCCAAAGTGCCTGCCAATAAATAGGCTATTGGATTTCTTCTACTTTAATTAATCTTTTCTTTCCTCTCTACCTCCTCAGAAATTAATCAGACTTTGTGGTGAAGTTCTAGCAGCACCGACAGAAAATGAAGAAATTCAGTTTCTCTGCATAGTATGTGCAAAGCTGAAACAGGATCCATACCTGGTCAACTTCTTTCTTGAGGTTTGTAGGTCAAAGACTGTTTTGAAATATTCCTATAAACACTAGTACATTACAGCCAAAAACACTTTTGTCACTTTCTTCAAAATATTCAAGGGATTTATTTTGATTTTCTGTTAGGCCTGGTGTACATTGGGGATAAGTTCAAATTAAGATACGCAACTTCAGCTATGTTACTTCAACTCCAGTGATGCAATTATCTTCATTCGATTTTGGTCCTGCCAACACTGTGGGAAGTTGAAGGGAGCGCACACCCTCCCTTCGATTTCCCTTACTCCTCATAGAGGCAGGACTACCAGCATCGGTGGGAGCATCATCTCAGTTTAAATTAGCATGTCTGTACAAAAGATTGGCTTCAATCTTATCTGTAGTGTAGACATGGCTTTTGAGTGACAATCTCATTCTTCTGTGTCACAGCTTCATTCTGAACTCGCAGTTTTTTTTTCTCCTTGAAACCATGCTTCATACCACCATTAAAGGGCACTCTCCAAATTAGAAAAACACCATCTTAGTCAATGAGGAAGTAACCATACCCTGAATGTAATGTGAGAGCCCTGCATCCAGGAATGAAATTGGACTTCTTTCTTTGTTCTTTGCCTCAGGCTTTTGAAGTCTAAGGCTAGGTCTACGCTACAAAGAAAAGTCGGAAAAAGTCGGAAAATCCGCAATTTGCGTATCTTTTTCTGCTTTCTTTTCGAAAGAGGCTTTTCCAAAATTTGGCGTGTCTACATGGCACCACATTTTGGAAAAACCTTCTCTTTCAAGCCATCCCCCCTTCCTCGTGAACCAAGGTTACAGGGATGGTGAAAAAATGTGTCCACTTTTCCGAAATTTTTTTCAGAAAAGCGGACGCGTTCCTTTGACGTGGTATCCTGGAAAAGAGCTGCAATCTAGACATAGCCTAAGGCCGTGTCCAGACTCAGGGGTTTTTTCGGGAAAAGTAGCCTTTTCCCGAAAAAACTTCCCCTGCGTCCAGACTCAAGCCGCGTTCTTTCGAACTTATTTCGAAAGAACGCGGCTTTTCTTTCGATGGCGGTAAACCTCAATTTACGAGGAAGAACGCCTTCTTTCGAAAGTTCCTCTTTCAAAAGAAGGCGTTCTTCAATGTAAAGAGGCCGTCTTCGAAAGAGAGCATCCAGACTCGCTGGGTCTCTCTTTCGAAAAAGCGGATTTCTCTTTCGAAAGATCCGCCTGCAGTCTAGACGTGATCTTTCGAAAGAGGCTTTCGAAAGAGGCTTTCGAAAGAGCCTCTTTCAAAAGAAGCCTGCAGTCTAGACATAGCCTAAGTGACTATCCCAGAAGGCTTTGAATGCATCTTGCAAAATGCTGAGGGCCTGCCTTGGAGGATTGGGCCCTTATTTGCTTGTAATACATGTGGTGTGGAGTATTAGCTGGAATAGCCACAGTGCTGACTAACTTCAAAATTAAAAGACTGCACAGCAGGAAGATTTGGAAACTTCAGGATACTACTGAATTTCAAAGAGAGTTCTAGGTTCACTGATTTTATCTTAGAGCTCAGACTAAGCCGTAAGAGATTATTGGAAGCTCCCATGTTTACCAGAAAATGCTTCTAAACCTCGTAGCCCATGGCAGTGGTCTTCACAACTTCTAGAGAGGAGTTATTTCACAAAGGACATTTTAGATTTGTTTTATTAGAATGCAGTGTTTTGACTCTGAAAGGCCATGCCCATAGCACTTTCAGGAGCTGTAATGTTGTGAAGTGGTGTCTGTCTCAGACATGTAAAGGTACCTGAGAAGCTACGAAGGTAGCTGAAAATCTGGTGCATCACTCCAAAACTGTACCTTTTGGTTACCCTTCTGAAACTTTTAAATGTACTAAGAGCCAGGCTCACGCTGGGTGTGGGACCTACCCCTGCTGCGGCTCTGCAGTTTAAATGTAGTAGGAGCCAGGTGCGCAGGCAGCCAGGCTCCTACTACATTTAAACTGCAGAGCCGCAGCAGGGGTAGGTCCCACACCCAGCGTGAGCCTGGCTCTTAGTACATTTAAAAGTTTCAGAAGGGTAACCAAGTTAGTCTGTAACAAGAAGAACATAAAAAACAATGAATAGTCTAGTAGCATCTTAAAGATTAACAAAACATGTATATGGTATCATGAGCTTACGTGGGCACAACGCACCCTGATGCAGAGGCAACAAGTGGGAGTTGGGGAGAGCGAGTAGTCGACTAATTGACTATTCTTTTACATCCCTACATATCAGGTATGGTGGAAGTTTTTGAAGTGCTGTATCTCATCTACTGCAAACCTCTTTCGAAAAAGAGCTTCTAGACTACAAGCAGTACTTTTGAAAAAGCAAGCCGCTTTTTTGAAGGGGAGCACTCAGGCATTCTGGATGCTCTTTCAAAAAAGCACAGTTTGAATTACATAGTGCCTTTTTTCAAAAGAGCACTTTCGAAAAAAGGCATTCTTTCTCGTAAAACGAGGTTTTCCGCGGTCAAAAAAACTGCCGCGTTCTTTTGATTTACTTTCGAAAGCAGGGGAAGTTTTTTGAAAAAAGGGTACTTTTTTTTTGAAAAAATCCTGTAGACTAGACACACCCTCAGAGGAAAGCACTGCTAGAAAGCACTTAATATGTATTTTACGTAATCTTTTTAAGGTGATTCAGGATCCTGTCCTGTACTCTGACAGGAGGCAGGAGAGTAGCTAAATTGCATGGCTAGATACCTGCAAACTTAAATATACACAGAAACTCTAAATGCATGTGTTCTGATGGACAGATGTCTGCACGTTACCTGCAGCTGCCAGAAATAACTGAGTTTTACCCCAGCCCATCACTCTACAGCAGTGTTCCCCAACTGGTGCTCTGTGGAACCCTGGGGTTCCGCAAAACTAAGGGTTCCACGAAGACCCGACACTTCCCCCGCCCCTCTCTTAAAGAGACAGAGCTGCGGCAGGAATTGTGGTAGCAGGGCTTCCCCCCCCCTTGATGAAACGCGGCGCCAGTTTTCTTGAGTTTTGTTGTTTTGCTCGACGAAACACGGTGGGGCCCTAGGGGTTACTTGGCCAAATAAAATTGGGATACACTGCTCTAAGGGGTAGTTAAATACTTAAGTCTTGTCATACAGAGGTTATTGTTCTTGATACAGGTTCTTCCCACTTATAGATAACAAGAAAAATACTCCAGGAGGTTCAGCAATAGCAGATTTAGGGATGGTATACATTAATATACTCCAATTGCTTTGTAGTCTTATGCCTCTCAGAGTGTAGAAAAGACAGTTTTGTGTTCTTTGAAACCCTGATCTTTCCAACGTACCCCAAAATCATACTTCTTTTGTACCATGGAGTAGACTGTAAATTGTGATTCCTGGGTTACCTCCCCTAGGGCTTCTTTATATTAGTGCACAGGAGCAATGCAGAACAGTGTCTCCACAAAGAATGCACATCAGCTTGGCAAGTGTTCAGATAATTTCTCTAGTTTGCTGTCTGGTTGTATTATTCCTTGCTGGTTTGTATGTACTAAAATCTGGTAACCCAACTGATGACTCTTACATTTTTACTTGTCCAGTGTTTGAAATAAATGTGACCTTATCATAGATACCATAGGATTTATAATCTCTTTACTGTGATCACTTGAAAAATTGATCTTAAGCTTAAGTACAGTTTATGCATCTAAGGCTATACCAGAAGAACAGAGGATCCTTGTCCGACAACCAGTTTTTCACTTGGTTGTGTAGAACACTAATCAAAATGTCTCTTTTACGTACACAAAATATATTTATAGAAAGAAGGCTGGGTCACATTCTTTCAAGGTAATAAAGCAGATGTCCTGTAGCTCTTGAGAAAGTTTTATAGAGTACAAGCTGTACAATGATAAATTAGCACCAACTTACCCTCAGTGAAACCTACTGGACTTTTAAAAAAAATATAAACTGAAAAACTGTATCAGTTGTCTGAGAGAGGCTTTCACTTTGAAGGCAAAATCTCTAGAAGCAGCGGCTCCGTGTCATCATATGATTAGAATTGGAAATGGTGTTTCCATAGTCACAGAGATAAAAAGGATTGAGGTCTTGACCTGAAAAGCCATGTTTTCTATTGAATCTGCTAGTGTCAAAAGGTGCTCGCATAAATAAATTCATGTTGGAGATTGGACAAATCAAATAGTATCCATTTCAGTTGTTTGATATAAAGAACAAGGGCATCTCTTTTCATTTATCTTTGACAAACTAGCATAGAAGCAGCCTTAAAACAGGTTGGTATAGAGCTTGGGAGAAATATAGATAAAAGTATGAAATTTCTTAAATTTAAACATTCATGTGGTTTTGCACCCGTAACATACTAAGCGACTAATCTATCTAGTCTTGTTAAAGAGCTGCAGTAGAACTTCAGAGTTATGAATACCAGAGTTACAAACTCACTGGTCAATCACACACCTCATTTGGAAGTGGAAGTATGCAACAGACATCCACAGAGACAAAACGAAAACAAAAAAACCCTGCAACCAAATACAGTATAGCACTATGGTAAATGTAAAGTATTAAAACAGTAACGGGAAAGTTCAAAAGAAGATTTGACAAGGTAAGGAAAGTGTATCTGTGCTTGTTTCATTTAAATTAAGATGGTTGAAAGTATTTTCTTCTGCATAGTAAAGTTTCAGAACTGCATTAAATCAGTGCTCAGCTGTAAACTTGAGAGAACAAACATAATGTTTTGTTCAGAATTACAAACATTTCAAAGTTAGGAACAGCTTCCACTTGCAGGGTGTCCATAACTTTGAGGTTCTATTCTACTTGATGTGTGTGTTACATAAACTTTTATTTTAGTAAATTTCTGTTTTAGGGCAAACAGCATTTTGATCAGTATAATCGCCTGTCCTAATGTAATGCTTTTCAGAACAAGTTAAAAGCTTTGGCTTCCAACGAATCAGCAAGTGTAATTACTGAAGACATGGTAAAAAGACAAGATACACTGGTGACGGACACAGGACAGTCTTTTCAACCAGAACAAATAGCTAGTGCTGCTGGAGCAGAACACATAGAGAAGGAAGATGATCTATCAATGAGCCTGGATGAACTAAATGTCACTTCATCACCCGAGGCTTCAGCTGTTCGTCCAAACCAAGACTATAATTTAGTGAATTCTTTGCTAAATCTCACAAAAAGCCCAGTAAGTCATTTTTTATTTTACTCAGTGTGGTAAAATGAGTAAAGTGTTTTAGATGTTTCTCTAATGGAGGCATTTACAATAGATGTGTGTATATAAATAGTTTAATTCTTAAGAAATAAAATATTTTGCAGATGGGGTGGGTTTTTTGTTTGTTAGTTAGTTTTGTTAGACTATTTCTTTTGCAAATTTCCAGGTCAAAAAAAATATTCTCAGAAATTGACTTTAATCTGATATTCATTTGGATCAAATTGTTTAAGGATTGTATGCTTCCAAATAAGGATGTGAATGGGTAATGTGTTAACCTGTTACCAAGTGATGCTTACTGGGTACCAGTTAACTGATACCCAGGAGCAGCCCATGGCCTGCTGCAGGTGGAGGGCTGCTGCAGCACATGGGGGTCAGGAGTTGGCTATTGCGCACGCAGGGGGGCTGGGAGCAGGAGCTGGCCCCTCTGCGCTTGGGGCTGCTGGTTCCTGCTGCCAGCCCCCAAGTGAGGAGGCCAGCAGTGACAACCAGAAGCCCCACACGCAGCTGTAAGGAGGGGAAGGTGGGAGTGACACCCCACCTAATGGGTTAACCAGTTAAATCTAAGGTTTAACCGGTTAACTAATTAACTGGGATTTTTCCATCCCTTCCCTTCCAAAGCAAGTTGAGTGGGTTAATTAGATTACAGAGACTGGAAGAAAGGGCTAATTTATATAGTATCAACTAAACCAAAGTAATAACAAATGTACTTTTTGTAAAAACTTCAGTAGACCAGATTCTGTGTGTGAACTTGATTTCTTGTCAAAATCACCACTATGGTTTCGATCCAGGTCCCACTGAATTCAAAGGGATCATTTAGAATTAACTTCCGGGGGAACTGGGTAAGATGTACTGTGATGGTGTCAAGAGCAGAAATTTTTACATACTCCATAGTTGTAAAGTGGTGTTTTACATTAGCGCTATAGGTTGAACCTAGGACTCTCTGGTTTGGCAACATCCATGGTCTTGAGGGACCATGAATATTGTTGAATCAGCAAGTGCCTTGACCAGAGAACCCTGGTGGCTGGAAGCAGGAGCCAGTTGGGATTCCAGTGTCAGAAGGGCCAGCAGCCAAAAGACCAGCCGGGAGCGGAGCCAGTCCAACAGCTGGGAGGGTGGAGCAGTGACTGGTAGGAGCTCAGATGGACCCAGGAGCCCAGCTGGGATTGGAGCCATGGTGGCAGCTTGAGGGCAGGGAGCCTGGCTCGGGCTGAGAGCGAAGCCGGGTGTCCAGGGCCGGAAGCAAAGTCAACATTCATGAGGGGAACCTGGAGGCCGGTGGCCAGGAGGGAAGCCTGGGGGCTAGCAGCAGAGGGTCCAGAATTGACCTCTCCTGATCCAGCAATATCCCTCGTATGGGACCAGTCAGGTCCTGAGGGTGCCGGACCAGGAAGGTCCAATCTTATAGATAAATAAACTTGAGTGTCGTGCTTATTATATCAATAACCCTCTTCAAGAGAGAGATTTTTAAAACAAATTTAGTAGAAATGACTGTTGTAATTTCTGAACAGGAACATCAAGAAATCCATTCAATCCCTCTTTTGCTCTCTGTTGAAGATCCTTTGGTTTCTTGTGTGTGACTTTAAATGACCATTCTTTCTGATTTTTTTTTTTTACCTCTTCCATGTCTGGTTTCACAGGATGGCCGAATAGCAGTAAAAGCATGTGAAGGCCTCATGCTCTTAGTAAGTCTGCCAGAGCCAGCAGCGGCCAAATGCTTGACCCAGAGCACTTGCTTATGTGAATTGCTGACAGACAGGCTCACTACACTCTACAAAGCCCTTCCTCAGTCTGTGGATCCATTAGATCTTGAATCAGTCGAGGCAATTAACTGGGGGTAAGACTGTTATTTCTGTTGTTAACATTTTCAATAATTTTGCATCACATACTGAAACTAAATTCCTACCATTAGCTAAGTCCTTTGTAACAGATATGGCACCATGCAAGCAGTTTCATTAACAGAATTAAGATACAATATAGTATTCTTAAAACTTGAAACATACTTTGCACTGATTATTAAGTTAAGGACAGGTTCAGCTGCCAGTCCATGCGGTCAGTTATTTGAGGGCAGCTTTCATTGAATGAGATTAGAGCTTTGTCTGTGGTGTAGCTGCAGAATTACGTCTTTTATTATTTTCCTGTTTAAATGTCAAGGACATAGTAAATTCATATACAAACTTTTTGGTGCCTGCAGTTAGCACAGAGATCCAAGAGAAGGCAGGAAGTATGCATTTGATGGAGGACTGTTGCAACATTTTGCAAAATCAAGAGGGCAGATACAGTTATTGCATAACTATCAGCACTGGGCAAAAGATAGTAGGCTTGTTGTCCTAACTACTTTTATGTTAGACTCTAAATATGTTTACTTTGGAATTCACTTCCTCACATCCTGCCCTACAATACTCTGAGCTCAGTATTTGATCCTAGTCTGTAAATTCCTACGCAGAAATGATATATCTGATTTTAAGGCATTTTTTTTAGCGGCCAAAGGCGGTTTAAGATCTAGTGGCTGGAAATAGAAGTAAGAAAAAAATAAAATTAAAAATAAGATGCAGTTTTATAATAGGATAGTCAGTGTTGGAATATCTTACCAAGAGATGAGGTGAATCCATCCTCATTGGAGTCTTCAAATTGAGATTAGCTGTTTTTTTTTTTAAAAAGGTGTGCTCTAGTTCAGACCCAGCCTAAGGAATGGGCTTGGTAGTGTTCACTCACATAGTATGGAAGAATAATCCCTCTATCTAAGGAATGACTAAATCAATTTCTGTGGCCTCTGATACTTTGGAGGTCAGATTAGCTGACCCTTCTAATTTTAAAACTTGTTCAAACATTCTAGATCCATCCATGTAGACTTCTTCTGCTGACCATACCAAATATACCTTAGCATGCAATTGAATTCAATAGAATAGTAGCAGTAGCACTACAGAATCTGTGAAACACCAGCAAGAAAGCTGTTAATATTCCACCTTTTCTCTCTTAGTGCAAGCTTGCTCCCATTAAAGCAGAATGTTGTCATAGAATTCAGTGGAAATAGTATTGGACCTTGTATTTGAAATGTGTCTTTTTTTCTCTTGTATCCCCTAGTTTGGATTCATATAGCCACAAAGAAGATGCATCTGCTTTTCCAGGAAAAAGAGCCCTGATTTCATTTCTCTCCTGGTTTGACTACTGTGATCAACTAATTAAAGAAGCACAAAAGGTTTGAAATGTTTGTTTGCATAAACATTGGTAATCCAAAACTAGTTTGGCAAATATATTGTTCCACCTCTCTTGAGTTTGAAAGATAATGTTTTTGTGGCCTGTGTTTTTAGACTACTGCTGTTGCTATGGCAAGATCTGTACGGGAACAATTTTTTGTTGGTGTCATGGAGCCCCAGCTGATGCAAACGTGAGTGGTCTCGTTGTATGTGAAACAGCGGGACAGAAAACAGGGCAAGTTGATCATTTTAGTTGGAATCCAGTAGCTTTCTAACAGGAATCATTTTCTTGTTCAGTTCAGAGATGGGAATCCTTACATCAACAGCACTTTTGCACCGTATTGTCCGTCAAGTCACTTCAGATGTGTTGCTGCAAGAAATGGTTAGCTTTATACTTGGAGGACACAGAGAACCAGAAACCTTGACAGATATCAACAGACATCCATTGCGACACAGGTTAATCGAGCACTGTGATCACATATCTGATGAGGTGAGAAATCATAATATCAGTGTTTCTGAAATGCTGTTCTGCTGTGGAAAGTGACTACAAAAAATGGCATTGTACGATTCTGCTTTGTCAAGCAGTTTTACAAGTAAAAAGACAGAGGGTGGGAGGATTCTAACTTAATTATCCAACATACTGTGCACCACTCAGATTCTGTTGAAGTCAGTGGTGGGTACAGGTGCATAGTACTTCTGAAAATGCCACTTTTATGTAGGTGCCTAACTTCAGGCATACTGCTTTGAAATTTGCAGCCTATGATTGCAGCTATAAAATCTCCATGGCACTTTGTCTCAGTACTGTATTTTATCCACTAGTCTTTTTAGGCCTTGATCCGATACCTGGGTCTACACTGGCACAGGGGCCCGCCATGTTGGTCTGGTTGTAGAAAAAGGCTATTCAACTTCGGAAGCCCCGGGGGACACAATGATACTTACAGCACATGCGGGCCGCAACTTAAGAGTGGTTGCATATACATGCAAATATATAAGCAAATATATGCAAATAGCTTCTTTCACACTGATGGGCATGAATACAAAGATTAAGGCAAGACTGCACAACACACAAGCCCCATTTAAATAAGTTCTGCTGATATTAATGAAATGCAATATTTACTCGATTTCCACCCATATGACAGCACTATTAATGAGCAATGACAGTCCAGGAATGTAACTACTAAAACGCGTATCAACAGAAGACCATTACATTGACTCGCCATTGTGAAGCGTGTTGCCATTGTAGGCCATCTTCAAAGGATCCCACCTGCGGGAAGTGTGTTGAGCCCCATGTAAACCCAAACCATACCGCGGGCCACAAACAAACAGGCCACAAGCCGCATGTGGCTCGCAAGCCGCGTGTTGAGTTGCTCTGTTGTAGAATCAAAGCCTTATATTGTAAATTCTTTGGGCAGGGTTACTCTCAGTTTGGTACAGTTCTCCTCTATTACAGGCCTGTAGCTATCGGAAGCTACATAAAAGATAAAAGTTGTTATGGATAAATGTGTATATTCTTTCTGATTTCTGTGTGGTCTGTTCACCTACATGAATAGCTCACCCAGTATAATGATGTCCCAGTCCTGATTGGGATCTTTGGGCTTGTCTATAATAGGAAAGATTAATGAGAACAATTTCCCAACATGCATAAATAACAGCTACTTTTAACTAAGCTAAGAACAGTGGTGTAAATAAACACTGCTTGTATTTATTTAACTCCTTTATTTTTTTTATGTTGCAGATCAGCATAATGACTTTAAGAATGTTTGAGCACCTTTTACAAAAACCTAATGAGCATATTCTTTACAACTTGGTTCTAAGAAACTTAGAAGAAAGAAACTACACAGAATATAAACCACCCTGCCAAGACGATAAGGATGTGGTGGAGAATGGACAGATAGCAGGAGCAGTGTAAGTGGTTTTTTGTTACATTGGTGAGGGACTTCACAATGGCTGAGTGCAGCTTTCACTTCTTATTTGGAAAAAAAATTAAGATCAGGTTTTCTTTCTTTAGGTGAAATAAAATTGAACCTGGATAATATTTAGTTGTTCTCCTTTGCCCCTTGTGTTAACAGCATGTCAAGTTATAACCATAGTTAATGTAGATTAGTTGTTTTGCAGTTTGAGCAGCTTTATGTACGTGATTAGAACAATGATAGATCATTGTATATTAGCAAAAATGTCTTTCTTACATAATAACACACACAGGTTCTGATTTAGATTTAGCAATTTGCACAGGCTTAACTTTAAGCACACAAGAAATGCCACTGACATCAGTGGTGTTGCTTACATACTTAAGGGTAGTTATATGCTTAAGTATCTTGCTGAATTGGAACCACAGCATCTTTAAGCTTCATAGTGTTTCATATGTAATCCTTACCAACACCCTTTTGTCCTTGATATATGAGAATTATCCCCTTTTTTTATAGATGGGGTAGGGGGCAGGAATTGGGTCAGAGAGATTAAGGCCCAGAGCCTCAAAGGTATTTATTTAGGCCCCTAACTTTCATTGATACCAATGGAAATTAGAACCACATACCTTTGAGGATCTGGGCCTAAGTGACTTGTTATGCAGAGGCATTTGGAGTCAGAGCCAGAACCAGAAGTCCTGGCTCCCCGCTCAGACCACTAGATTGTGCCTTTTTTTTAAGTTAGTTATCAATTTATAAATGTTGATATTGTGTAATAATAATTGAGTTAAATGGTATCCTAATTGTGATCATCTAGAATGTGTGCTGGCTGGTCAGCAAAGAAAAATAGACCATGTGCCTTTGATTCAGAAGGTGTCCTATCTACGCTAACATTCTGTGAATTATTTTGTGTGTCTGTGTAATGTAAACTTTCAGAGACCTGGAAGAAGATCCATTATTTACTGATCTTTCTCCGGACAACACGTTGTCTAATCCTGAGTGGCTAAGTGCTTCTCCTCCCATCAGCCCAGAACATCCAAAAAATGATGGGAAAACTGAAGTTCATAAAATTGTAAATAGGTGAGTTGGAAAACTAACTTTAAAAAGCTGTGCATCATTTAAATCAGGTAAGTAGTTAGCATAGTGCTGATCTTTATAACTAGGGATGTTAGCGTGTAATTTAATAGTCATGTAAGTGCATCAAATTTTAGTGGTTACACGACTATTTGATAATCCCTGGGGACAGGAATGGTAGCCAATGTGCTCCAGTCCCACTCCTGCATTGCTGCCTCTGTATCAGCCGGTTTTTAAAGTGGCTCCCCTCACGGATTGATTCCCTCTGCCACCCCACTCTATTGCCTCTGTATCAGAAGCAACAGTTCAGGGTAGCAGGTGGGAGCCATTCCGCGAGGGGAGCCAGTTTAAAAACTAGCTCCCTACGCAGACTGGCTGCCTGTCATTCTGCACTGCTGCCTCTGATACAGGGTGGCAGTGGCCCCTGTCCATGGGGAGTCCAAGATCCCTGCAGTCCAGTGGCTGCAGGGGTGAGGGATGAGAGGCACTGCCGCAAGGTGACCTCTGTCCGTGATGGTTCTGCCATGTGGATCTTATTATGTATGAAAAACGGTTCATTCTTTCATCAAAGCACTGCAAATACCCAGAACATTTCCATTCTACTGATGGAAATAAAAATGAGCAGTTTAACAGATGCAGTTTTGTCTGTGCCCTAAACCATTTCCACCATAAACTAGATGCAGTCGTATATGGGGAGTAAAGCAAGTATTAACTTCAGGTATGTCTACACTTGCACCCTCTTTCAAGAGAGGGATGCAAATGAAGACATTTGAAATTGCAAATGAAGCCGGGATTTAAATATCCCGTGCTTCATTTGCATAATCGCGTTATGGCGCTATTTCGAAATAACAGATGCTAAGATGCGGTTATTTCAAGAGAAAACCCTTCTCTCGAAATAACCCTTATTCCTCGTATAATGAGGTTTACCAGTTATTTTGAGAGAAGGGTTTTCTCTCGAAATAACCACGTCTTAACAGCGTCTGTTATTTCGAAATAGCGTCATAATGCGATTATGCAAATGAAGCACGGGATATTTAAATCCCGGCTTCATTTGCAATTTCAAATGTCTTCATTTGCATCCCTCTCTTGAAAGAGGGTGCAAGTGTAGACATACCTGAAGTTAATACTTGCTTTACTCCCCATATACGACTGCATCTAGTTTATGGTGGAAATGGTTTAGGGCACAGACAAAACTGCATCTGTTAAACTGCTCATTTTTATTTCCATCAGTAGAATGGAAATGTTCTGGGTATTTGCAGTGCTTTGATGAAAGAATGAACCGTTTTTCATACATAATAAGATCCACATGGCAGAACTCACACTCCGGTACAGGCAGTCCCCGGGTTACGTACAAGATAGGGACTGTAGGTTTGTTCTTAAGTTGAATTTGTATGTAAGTCGGAACTGGCTCCAGATTCAGCCGCTGCTGCTGAAACTGACCAGGGCTAGTTTTTAAACTGGCTCCCCTCGCGGAATGGCTCCCACCTGCTACCCTGAACTGTTGCTTCTGATACAGAGGCAATAGAGTGGGGTGGCAGAGGGAATCAATCCGTGAGGGGAGCCACTTTAAAAACCGGCTGATACAGAGGCAGCAATGCAGGAGTGGGACTGGAGCACATTGGCTACCATTCCTGTCCCCAGGGATTATCAAATAGTCGTGTAACCACTAAAATTTGATGCACTTACATGACTATTAAATTACACGCTAACATCCCTAGTTATAAAGATCACAACTCAACTGAAAATGCTAGGTGACAGCAGTCTTACCTGTGCTCCCATCCTCAGCTTCCTTACATACCCTGCCCAGCCATTTGATACATAGGGAACCCTTTGGCTTAACCCTTTCTAGACTGCTGCTTTACCTGTTCCTAGTGGTTGTTCTGTAGACTTGCGATGATGCAGACGTCTGCATGAAACAGAATGGCTAATGAAAAAAGGAATTATGTTGCAGTGCTGTCCTGCTTACACAAGACTGTCACAGCATATGGCTGTGGGCCTGCTCACTGCTATTTCTGTCAAACTTCAGGGCAGCTTGGAGGCTCAAGCTTCTTTTTTTAATGAATTTACATTTATTAATCAATCATTCAGTGATATAACTGTGCGGTAGGCTTTCTAGTACACATACAAAGCAAGGCTTTTGCCTTACATCTAAGCTCACACAGAATGTGTTCAGTGATGCTGGTTGGGAATGGAAGACAAAGGCTATGCAGATAAGATGCGTTTCATTCAAAAATCCAATGACTAAAAATAAAATTTTGCTGAAAACCAGATCAGGTTTGTTCCAATGGTTCTCTCCCCCCGCCCCCTGTGTACTCAGTGCCTAGCTAACTGGGAATCCCTGACTGGGTCCCTCCAGCACTAAATATTTGCAGACCAGACTGAATTCAAGTTAGGAACAGGCATTTCATGCTGCTCTAGGAAAGGCCAAGGAGGAAGTAGACTTGTTTATGGTATTTAGTGGGAAAAGGAAAACTCAGGCTGAATGGCAGGAAAAGTACCTAATGAGATCAATTAGAGTCTGAAATTCTGAGCCAGGGATTCAGAAGACTATAATGGCAGATGAACTCAGGCAACCTAAGTAAATTGCTGTGCAGCAGGGCAACATCATTTACTAGTTTAACATCTAGGGCTTGGATCGACCAGCCTGAACGCAGGGGCCTCCCTTTGGCTAGACTGCACATACATTCCAGTTTATGCATCTTATTAAAGCCTTTGTCCATTGTTCCATTTTGACACACAGAGTTAATGATCAGCAAAGACAGTTTTTGTTTTATTGAATCAAGGCAAATGTTCCTTGCCGAAAGGCCATGCTAAGGCATCTGCTGAAAAACCAGCAAAAGCAGGAGTTTTACAAGTTGGTGTTTGGTGTAAAAACATTCAGACGCTGCAAACTAATTACTGCGTGTGTCCTGTCCGTGGCAAGCAGAACAGAGAGCAGGACTAGACATTACTTGCCAATGGAGAAACTAAATATAGTCAGCAAACTTCTGAGGAGAGACGCAGCTCCCTCTAACATCAGCGGGGAATTGTGCATGCTCAGCATCCACGAGGAGCTGGTCCTATGAAAAGGGAAATAAGACTTTGTTAACTGTTATACAGAGGGTTAGCAGTTTTCCTGTTGCACTAGATGTCATTCTGCCAACTTCAGTGCTGTTCCAACTGAGTTATCAAAGTCACATGAGAAAGGCTCATGTCCCAATCTGGTCTTTCCAGCTTTTGAATATACTGACCAGTACATTCCCAGAGCAATTTATACCTTGACCAGAAATGAATGCAACGAAGCACTGTGCAGTCCAGCACTTCTTACTTCTTTGAGTGGCAAAGAGAGTGCGAGAATCTGTCCTTTGCCAAGTGTTGCTAATCAATAAGCCTTCATTGAAGGCTTGACAGTGGGTTCCTGGCCTTGGTAAAGTAGGTTGCCAGGATGCTGGCTTCACTGTTGCTCCAGTTGGGGAGGGGGAGGGAAAGACGAGCATGGTCGCTCCTTCCTGCTTGCAGCCAGGATAGTGTTTGGAATGGAAGATGGACAACTACTGGGAGAGAAAATGAGAGAATCCTGTTAAACTTTACATAGCTCCATTGACCCAAACCTTCCAGTGACATTGGTGTAGATTCAAAGAATTTCCATCTTGTCTATAGCCCTGTCTAAGCAAGAAGGTAAAGGTGGTTTTGTTTTTCAGCTGAGTTATCCTAAAATGTCTGGGGCACTAACACAGACACCATTAGACACCTTCTTGAACCCTCTATAGCCTAGAGCAGTAGTTCTTGAACTTTAGCAACTCGAGGACCCCCATTTTGAATTAAAACGTGTATGCACTAAGATGAATATGAAGCTCGAAACCCAAAGCCTTCAAAGATTTATTTGTTAGCTTAATCTGATGTACTATCAGGCATCCTACTGAAGTCAATGTCAGTGTGTTAAGAAAGCCTTTGCCGGTGTTTGGCCTAATACTTCTTTCTGAGGTGTTTGGTGCAAAAACATTCGGATGCTTTCCTACACTGAACATGTGTAATATAACCGGGTCTGGGAGCACCACTGAGAGGGCCAAATCAGGGTGAATTGCTTAGAAATAAGGCTACTTACAGCCCAAGTCTGGGGTCCATCCTCTATCACAACAAACACTTCAGCTGCCACTCTGGCCAGCAAGAAGTCACACAAGCAAAGCCTCAGAGGCGCGGGGAACCGCCGCTGCTGCCGCTTCAATCTGGGTGCCTGTGGTCTGCTGGCAAAGCCTCAGAAGCGCGGGAACCCGCCCGGTGCCCCTGGTCTGCTGGAGACGGTCTCCAGCAGACCAGGGGCACCGGACCAGCTTACGAACGGGGCTTTCTCGCCCCGACTTCCGGGGCGAGAAAGCTCCGTTCGTAAGTGCGGATCCGACGTAAGTCGGATCCGCGTAAGTCGGGGACTGCCTGTATTCCTCTCTCCCTACATATACAGAACTCCCATTGGCATTCATACATGTAGAGAAAGCTGAACATTGGATACAAGATCTGTAAACCACATTTTCTCTAACTCTCTAGAAACTGTGTAATGCTAGTCATTCCAAGGTAGTGGTTTTGGATAACAGTAAATGTCAGCAGTACTTGTAACAGGAACATATAATTACAAATAATCACTTAAATTTTTAACTGTTCTTTCATCACAGCAAACTGACAAACTCAGGATTTATTTCCTAAAAAAAATTAGTCATAAATTTTCACATGAAATCTCTTCTTTTATTTGATTCATCAGGCTTCGAGCCTAATATAGTCTCATCTTTAGCAAATGCTAGGAATTGATTATAACTTTCGACTTCACTTTTGCTTCCTGACTTTCAGAAGTCACTTTCCCTCTCCTGGCTCCTGTACACTCGGTGTTAGATCTACAAATTCTTATGCACACAATTAACAGAAACCATAGTTGAACTGATAGATGTGTGTCAGAACATTTCATAGCCCTTCTTTCTCTCACAATGTTACTGGATAACTCCCTATGTTAATTGGACAGATGGGTCATTTTTGTGTCTACCACTCATGTATTGATAATGAAGAAATACTGTCCTACCATTGTAGGGATAGATTTATTTATTAATGTATTTTTCTTTCTTTTTAGCTTTCTCTGTCTAGTACCTGAAGAAGCCAAATCGTCCTACCATGTAGAGGGCACAGGTTATGATACCTACCTCAGAGATGCCCACAGACAAGTATGTCACACAAACCACAGCTTTTCTTCTTTTTCTTTGTCCCTCTTAATTAGACAGTACTCTGGATTTTGAGTAGCATGTGAAAATTTACAAATAATTTGGGGACATGTACAGTACTATTAAAATATTTGAAGGTAAGCTAGTAATGGAAAGGGTGGAAATTCAATTGCCTTGGACTAACTAGGACTTTACCTATAGAGATTTTTAATTGAGTTCTGAATCCCCCTTACACAGCTCTCATGGGAATTATAGATGACATTAAATGCGTAAATATTCATGTGACAAACCTGCACTACAGATTGGTTTGTAAATTGTCTTTGCATTTATCTGCATTCGTCTCGATTAGAGGAGTGCCTGGCAAGATCCTTGAAAGAACTTAGTGGATGTTAAAATGCTGTAGAAGAATTAAACAGCCCTGTGCTTTAAAATAATGGTTTAATGAGAGAAACGTGCAGCCTAAGGCATGCAGATTTGATGTTAAGAATATTGGTTGAAAGAGAAAGCTTTAAAGTTGCATATTTTGAAATAGAAACAAATAACAAAATAGTAAAGTCTCCAGCAGAGGACATTCAGCATTTGCTTGCTGCCTTTCTTGTGAAGTCCTGTGAGTCTTCTGTAATGGGACAGGGTTTCTGGGGGTGAGAGTAGAGTAACTGGAACAAAAATACATGCAGTGGAACTCTAAGGATTTCATGCTCTCTGAACTTTGCCTTCTACACTTCCTTTATGGTCTTAGCCACAGCATTTCCTGGAAGGAAAGGAAAATGTGAAGGAGAAAATTCTCAAAATGTTTTAATTTTGGATTCAGGAAAGGGCATACTATTTCCTCTTCTTGCTTCCTTGCCTTGGGGAAAGGCAGATTCTGGGAGCCATTGGAAAGTAGGATTAGTTTCTGCCTTTTACTCTCACTTATATGTATGATCTCAAATTATTCCACCCACAATAACATAACCCTCCACATTAATGCAGTTACACACAAATAGTTGCTCTGCCTCCTTGCATCTGTGCTTGGAAGAGCAGGTCTGACTCTTCCCTCCCTGGCATTAGTTTAACTCCATTGACTTTAGTGAAGTTACTCATGGCTTGGGATAATCACACCCACTGGGTACGTCTAGACTGGCAAGATTTTGCGCAAAAGCAGGTGCTTTTGCGCAAAAACTTGCAAGCTGTCTACACTGGCTGCTTGAATTTGCGCAAGAGCACTGACTTTGTAATGTACAAAATCAGTGCTTCTTGCACAGATACTTTCACACTCCCGCTCAGGAAAAAGCCCTCTTGCGCAAGAATACCGGTGTAGAGAGGGAAAAATTGTTTTGTGCAAAAAAGCCCCGATGGCTAAAATGGAGATCAGGGCTTTCTTGTGCAAAATCGCGTCTAGACTGGCCATGGATGCTTTTGCGCAAAAGCACTTTTTGCGCAAAAGCATCCTTGCCAATCTAGACGCTCTTTTTCGGAAATACTTTTAACGGAAAAACTTTAAACTTTACTTTCCGTTAAAAGTATTTCCGCAAAATCATGCCAGTCTAGACGTAGCCACTGGGTATAACTTACTTACGAGGCCTGACCAGTATTTCTGTTCCAAGTGGCTAGTTTAGGGCTTAACTCCCCCCTCTGGATACTTGAGTAAGTCCTTCATAATGTTGCAAGTATCAAGAGGGAAATAAAGTGCTGGAATGAAGTCTGATACTTTGTTGTGGATATTTTCAAATTGGCAATATTCAAAGAGTAGGAGGTCTGAGCTGCCATTCTCACTCTTAAATGATGTACGTTAGTAAAACAGAAAAGAAGTTGTTTCCACAAAGGTTTGTAGTTTCTTGCTTTTTCCCCCGCTTTCATTGAATATATTTTGCTGATTTTTTCTTCTTAGTTCCGGGATTATTGTGCAATCTGTTTACGTTGGGAATGGCCGGGGTCACCCAAATCTTTGGAAAAGTGCAATTTAGAAGCATCGTTTTTTGAAGGACACTTCTTGAAAATTCTTTTTGACAGAATGGGCAGGATTCTTGATCAGGTAACAAAATACATTGTTTCTGACTCTCTCATTTCTGAGGCTTCCATCCTTGATAAATGACTGATCTCCACCTGGTCACATTAACATCCATTTTAGATGTTTTATAGAAGTGTATTATTGTGCAACTCTCCCACAAAACTCTATGTAGCTCGAATGCACTAATTGTTATATTGTAGCTGTTGAATTGTTGGGTTTTACTAATATTGGCAATCTTGTCAACATTCTGAGGGAGCATTCTTTTTCTTACCTTTGCTTGAATGATTGGCACTTTATCAATAGCAAGGGTAGATTATGACATTCTCACTTACACTGAATACCATAATCATTTGTATTAATTGCCTGTTTTGTGTTCTAAATGTTTTCATGAATGATGCCCTAAACTGAATGTCATTTAAAGCTACAGATAGGCCAGTTCTACACTATGCAAGACATTTGATTTAAGATGCACAACTCCAGCTACAAGAATTGCGTAGCGGGAGTTGACGTACCTTAAATCGAATTTCTCTGGCATCCCCACTGTGGAAGGTCAATGAGAAAAACTCTCCCATCCACTTCCATTACTCCTTGTGACCCCGTGGAGTACCAGGGTCGACAGGTATGCTATGACCATTCTATTTAGTGGGTCTTTACTAGCCCTGTTAAATTGAATCCTGGAAGCTCGATCTCTAGAGCTTTGATTTCCTTGTAAATATAGACAAGGCCACAGAGTATAAATGTCACTACAGTTATAGGAGGACAATATGATGCATAGGATGTCCAAGTGTTTTGTGCTTGTTTGTTCTTCCAGTAGGAGATGGGTTGTTATGGAGGAGTGAAGGATAGGAGAGAGAACTTTTTAACTGCCTATAATTTTCCTTTTTGTTTTATAACTACAAGGTCTTTGTGTGTAAGAGTTTTATTTTGTTCTGTTTTGATTTTTCTAATATTTATACATGGCTATATATTTAGCCATGTAAATTCTTCAGTACATAGAGAATTTCACAACCTAGATCACCTATATTTTTAATAAACTTTGCTGTATAATATGGTTCTCAAAACACTGTGCAGGAAATTAAAAGCCAAACTAAAATACTATATCATCTGCAGAGTTTCCCCAGACTTGTTCAGGGTTGAAGTAAATATTTTCTTCACACCAATGGTGCAAGGACATTTCTAGAGGGTACTTTTTCTAAGCCCTCCCAACAGATAATTTTAATAATACATGTCTTCACCATTTCATTATGTACCAGTGTTAAAAAATGTAGTTATCTGAGTTGAACCAAATTGGGTCTTCTTGTTGAAGAAACATGAGTGTAATACATGAGGTCCAGATTAGTATAATGAAATGTATAGAATATAATTCTGAGTAGAAGAGGATAAATCCTTTTTGGGTACCCACTTTCACTTTTTCTATGTTAGCATACTTCATTCTCTACTGAACACTCCCCCCCCCCAACACACACACACACATTTGTCTCTTCTTCTTTATGCCTTTTTATCTCTTTGTGGCTGCATTTTCACTAGTAAAAAAAAGTGTGTTGGTAATTTGAAGTAGCAAACTGGCAGTATCTAATTTGAGATAAAATCCTACTCAAAATAAGGCTGTTTATATTTTGCATGCAAGTTAAGAGGTTGATTTGACATGAAAACAATAAATGGTCTTGTCTTAAATAGAATGTATAACAATTTAGTTAACTCCAGGTAGCTGCCTCAAGATAGGGACACACTACTTTTCCCTAGAGAAGACAGGGCCTGAAATCTAAATTATTCCCTCCGTAGTGCTATGTGGAATGCTTTTCAGGTGGTATTGCTGTAGAATAGATGCAATGAAACTATTTACAGAAGGAACATATGGTACTAGAGAGACAAGGTGAGTGGGGTAATATTGAAGATACACTTCTAGCATGTGATACTAGTCCAGTTTTTCTCTGCAGCTTTAAACCATGTTTAAAACTAGATGCTGTTAGTACCAGATTTCTTGTGATCGTACATTACTTTTGGTCAAGGTAAAAGTAGAGAAACCAAGGCTCATGGGCAGAAAGGCAACACCGTGTACAAGCAGATCTGCCATGACAGTCCTTTAAGAAAAATGTTGTGTGATGATAATTTGTAAAACCCAGGGGACTGAAAAATAGCTTTCATTGTGCTATCCCACTGTATCAGGGATTGTGTCATTTTCAGTTCTGCCCACTCTTTCTAGGCTTTGCATGCTGAGAACATGTTTTCAGCCTTAGCATTGCATTTTCTTGGGGTTTCTTATAGATCAGGTTAGATACTTCTTACATTACTTAATAGTGGATGTTTTCCACTTTAAATAGGATTGCTTTGAATCTCAAATCAAGTAAACACCTGTGTTAAGGAAATGAAAGTGTAACCATATACACGTTTAACCGATGAACCTGGTCTCATTGGTTAACCTATGCGGGGAGCTGGCTTAAAACCTGGCTCCCTGCACAGACCAGCTCCCATGGAGCCATTTTCTCCCTCCATGCACTGCTACCTCTGTATCAATAGGCAGGCGAGAGCTGGTATGCGCAGGGAGCTGCCCCACATGAAATTTTCAGAGGTTACAGTTACTTCAATGTATTTTAGCATCCCTGCTGTGTGTACATATAGATCCTGAACTTCAATATTCCAACTCTTTGACCTAGCTCACTGTAATTTGGGGGCTGTGAGAAATTTTATATTTGGAAGGAAATGGAAATGTTCCCCTAGCATGTGGATTTTTTTTTTTTATCTATCCAAACTCTTATCTAGATTAAGTTAAAGAACTCTATGTGTTGCTCCCAAGATCTTGATTCCAGTAAATACTTGTTCTATGTGTTACTAACTAAAGCAATACTGGTTTTAAATAATAGATCTGGAGTTTCATCTGTTTTTTAGAACCCACTAATCTGATGCACATGAAAATCTTGTTTCATGAGACATAAATTGTAGTGAATAAAGGAACTGGAATATATCCCCAAAGGATATCCGAGGAACAAATGCCTACTGTTAAAACAAAAATAGCATCTGTTATTGAAGCACAATGTCAATTTGATCTAGTACCTGTCAGCAAGGCCCAATTTCTGAGTTAGTCAGGCAAGATGTCACGGTTTGTGGTGTTAAAAACAATACTTGACTCAAAAAGAATTAAAAGAAACTGCCTCAGTCAGACAGCAAGAGTGAATTGCTAAAGCTATTTCCTACCAAAAAGCCTATACTTAAAGCCAAATTGAAACCTGGCTTGGGGATAATTCATAGTGAAGTGCTAATGTAACCCAGAAAAATCAAATGTTGGTTCTATCAAGTCAGATGAACGTGATAAAATTGATATAGTGTATGGTTATTTAAAGGTCCACATGAAATGACAAGTTTAGCAAAACATTCAGTTCTGCTTACAAATAGTGTTAGTCTTCTTTTAGGCTTTGGTATCATAATAAATTAATTAATAGTTTTTATATGGCATTTTTCATGAGTATATATCAAATTGCTTTACAAAGCAGGTAAATCTTGTTGCAGTTTCAGGGGTAACTGCACCTGAATACCCCCTCCAGGGTCTACTCCAGTAGCACCCTGGCGGGTCTCAGAACGCCAGTTGTCACCTGCCTCAGTGCACGGATCATGGTCCCATTCCTTTCACATTGTGGTTTTTCATGCTACACAGTCCCTGCCTTATACTCTAATAGCCCCAGCAAGCGGGTCTACCTAATGGCCAGCACCTGTGCATTGCTTTCTCTCCAAGGGCTAGGAGTGCTGTATCACACCACCCCTTTCTCAAAAAAGTGTACTTATTTTTAAAGGTAAAAGCAATACAAGTTCTTACATGCTTACTGAATGCTGACCAGTGGTCATCCCCAGCTCCAGCAATGGGCTCTGGGAAGTGTCAGTCTTACCATCCCTTCAGTAAGGGCTGGAATTCCCCAAGGCCCTGTCTGTCTGTAGAATCAAAATGAACACCACAAGTCAGTTCAGGATCATCATTTCATATCAATAGCCCTTTTGTTGTTGTTTCCTGGTCTCTTTGGGTATGTCCATGCTGCTGCAGGGAGTGAGCCTCCCAGCCCAAGTAGACAGCTGCATCGTGTCAAAGCTTGAGTTTGCACACTAAAAATAATAGAATGGACAAGGCACATTGGATAGCAGCTCAGATCCCTTGGACTTGAGAGGGTGAGCCCCAGCTAAGGCTGCCATGTCCGCATTGCTATTTTTAGTGCACTTGCTCAAGCTCACGAGCACAATTTGTCTATTTGCCTGGGACATTCAGTCTTAGATGCAATGTTGACATATGCTGGAAAATCCAGTGCAAGCCACACTGAAGCATGCTGCTTTTTTGGAATTGTCAACAGTCCTAAGGCTTATGATCTCTTTCTGTGGTAACTCTTCCCCAAGGTACAGTCTGCAGCAATCTCCAGAGGTACGGTATGGCACAGCCTTGCAATATTTCACAGGTGTCATCATCTTCATTAAGAGATGAGGCAGTTGAGGAACAGAGAAGTGGAGTGACTTGCCCAAGGTTTGCCAAACAGGCCAGTGGAAGAGCTGGTAGTAAAATAGAATCCAGATCTCCTCAATCCCCATCCAGAGGGTCTGTCTACTGGATCACTCTGCAGCCCATGGTTAATAATACGCAGTATGCTTACATCATGGAGCTAACCTTTGTTTCCTTCCCGTCCTTGTTTAGAATACTTAGTTGGCTGTTGAAATGGGTTGGATTGAGTTGCTTCTGAAATATATCCCATAGAAGCAGTTTAGGGATGCTAGACAGTGTATAATTGAATAGCATGAAATTTTAGCAGTTACACGTCTCTTTGATAGCCCTGGGGTGGGGCTGGCAGCCAGTGTGCTCCAGCATCATTTCCAGGGAGCCCCCTGCCACTCGGTGCTGCTGCTTCTGATACAGAGTCAGCAGCGCAGGGTGGCAGCAGCCCCATTGGCAGGGGGCCAAGCTCCCCGTGGATAGGGACTGCTGCCACGGAGCAGACTCTGTCTGCAGTGAGCCTTGGCTTGCCGTGTGGGATGCGGAGCAGCCTCTGTCCACA